AACATGAGCTGCCATACGTTCGGATTTTCCCAGACATTTCTGCCCAGACGCTGCTTATGAATACCAGCTGAATACCAGCTATGTCCGGGAAAATCCAGATGTATGGCAACACTATTTTATACAAATCTGTGGATTTAAAAGGGAGTTAGGCAAATTCATAGACTGCTATGGCTACTGACCATGATAGCTATATGCTCCTGCCAGGTTGAGAGGCGTGATGTCTCTAAATACCAGTTGGGAGTGAAGAACAACAGACTATTAACTCAATTAACTTCATGGGGTGTCTGATTGTGGAAATAACATGCTGGACTACATTGATCTGCTGTAGCACAGCTGTTCTATGTTCTTATTGCTAGGCAATTGTTTAGGTGCTGCCAACTATGACGCCAAACAACGTTCTCCGGCATCCAGCTCAGTGGACCTAAACAATCCACAGTTGGTGTAGCATTTGGGAGGCTGCAAATCACTGCCCCTTTCCTCCCACACAACATCCTACAAAAGGAGGCCCATTCCAGCTGTTTTCCTTCTCCAACTGCAGCATTTTGGAGAGCTAATGGAGAAAAAGGCTAGCATAGACTCGCTCATGCTGTGCCAGTGTTGGACGCCTGCAAGCCAGCGGCGGGGAGCCTTTGCACCCCCAGATGTTGCTTAACTACAGCTCCCATTATTCCTGGCCATTGGCCACGCTTGCAGAGGCTGCTGGGAGTTGTAGTTGAAACAAGATCTGGTGCCATGACCCATTACCAAGGGATCATTTCATCCAGTCCATGGCAGAGTGGGTGTTTCTCGGACACTTGTGTTGTAGGCATGTTTATGGGGCACTAGGGAGCATTTCTTTCAGCAAGGCCTTTGTATACAGGTTGGCATCCCGAAGCAGCTGTATATGCAGGTATTAAGAGGACTGTTTTTAGGGGAAGTGGCAACCAAGGTCAACTTTGGGGAAGTGTTTTGACAAGCAGTGTTGCAGATTTTTCGCGTGGTTGTCTGGCTGCAAGAGAAACAACCAAGACCTTGGGCGGCACAGATAAAACAAGCAGCAGCTCCGGACAAATGCAAGACAGCCAGACGTCCATATAACACTATGTCAAACATTTAACCAACAGGGGGAAAAAACTTATTTCTTAGCGCTCAAACTGCTTCCAAGACCTTAAGAGGGTTGGGGATAGCGTGAGCTCTGAGTGAAGGGCATGTGTTTTAGGGCGAGCTGGGATATGTGGGGGGGGGGGGGGGAAGAGTTGCGAGGGGATAGACACCAGATGGTTGAAGTGTAAAGGTAGGGGGGATAGTCAGGTGTAAAGGGTGGAGGGGTTGGGCAGGTGGGGGGGAAAGTAGGGTTGGCCAAAAAGTAGGTAGATAGGTGGGGTTGGTGAGCAGAACAAGTGTGGCAGCAATCCCTAGTCTATCTGTCTGTCTGTTGTTTCCTGTGTTGTTTTCCCCTGTTTTAGCTGGCTGTTTTTTAGCTGTTTTTATTACAGACCCTCCAAGTGGCCCTATTTCCCAGATGTACAGAAGCCATCCCGGTTTCTGATTTGATCCTGGAATGTCCCACTTTTCCTTAGGAGAAATGTTGGAGGGTATGGATTTATGTGACCCTTGAGCCAAAGAAATAAGTAACTCTACAACCTTCAGAAGACATCTGAAGGCAGCCCTGTATAGGGAAGTGTTTTTGTTTTTTTAAAAATGTTTAGTTTTTTATTATGTTTTTATATATGTTGGATGGTCCATGGGGTCACGAAAAGTTGGACACGACAGGTTAGTTTTACCCTACTGATGATGTGTTGTTGCGATTGTAATCCTGCTCAGTACGAGAGGAACCGCAGGTTCAGACCTTTGGTGTATGTGCTTGGCTGAGGAGCCAATGGGGCAAAGCTACCATCTGTGGGATTTTGACTGAACGCCTCTAAGTCAGAATCTGTAGGGATGTGGGTGGCGCTGTGGGTTAAACCACAGAGCCTAGGACTTGCCGATCAGAAGGTCAGCGGTTCGAATCCCCGCGACGGGGTGAGCTCCCTTTGCTCGGTCCCTGCTCCTGCCAACCTAGCAGTTTGAAAACACATTAAAGTGCAAGTAGATAAATAGGTACCGCTCTGGCGGGAAGGTATACGGCATTTCCGTGCGCTGCTCTGGTTTGCCAGAAGCGGCTTAGTCATGCTGGCCACATGACCCAGAAGCTGTACACCGGCTCCCTCGGCCAATAAAGCAAGATGAGCGCCGCAACCCCAGAGTTGGCCACGACTGGACCTAATGGTCAGGGGTCCCTTTACCTTAAACGACTAAACAACAACATATATGTTGGAAGCTGCCCAGAGTGGCTGGGGCAAGCCAGTCGGTTGGGTGGGGTATAAACCTTTTACCTTTTTTCCCTAAATATTATAGTTGTTGTTGTTTTTGTTATGGAATAAGATGTTCCTGTTTTCATCAGAGAAATGTTGGAGGATATGTTATAGTATCTTCTACACTGCCTTGAGACATGAGTGTGGAAGGTGATAATGCAATGAGATAACGTATAAGGAAACCTCAGTCACCAGTCACCAGTCACAATGTATAGGTTATTCCCACGATGGTTGTGAGAATCGGGCCTGGCAAGCACTTGAGTAACTAGACCACAGGCAGCTCCAACACCAAGCAAAAATCGTGCATCTTCACATGTACCCCTGGCAATAGTACACATGCCGCAGTCAGACGCCAGCCAGAAAAAGGGGTTTTTAAGAGATCTAAATCCACCACTTGACAAACAGGTTCCCTAGAGGTTAAAGAAATCACGTCGATTATGCTGGCACCCACGCCTGAGCATTCTTTCCCTCAGCACTTATTTTGCAGATGATGGGAACACTTGCAAATAAAAAGGTTAAAGGGGAAAGGGGGGGAAACGTTCAAAGCTAGAAACGTGCCAACAGCAGAACGTGCTGTCGTTAATGCGCTGAACTGAGACACGTCTGCATTCTTAAACTCAGCTCTGTTTGCAGCCTAACAGCAGCAGCCTTCGTCTGTGCCATTAAGGCTATTGACTGCCATAAGCAGGGCCAGGTTTGGGTGCAGCTTGGGTGACCCAACACTGCTTCCCGCTAAACCAGAGGTGGGGAACTTGAGGCCCTTCTATTATTATTATTATTATTATTATTATTATTATTATTATTATTAAAATTTGTGTACAGCTCTTCTTTCGTAGACCTCCGGGCAGTTCACAACATAGAATTACAACATTAAAAAAATGCAAAATGCATAATAAAAATAAGAATACCCTTTGTGAGCCACTTTAGTTGAGCCTTTTTGGCCCTAGGGTGACACGGAAATAAACCATAACATAAAAGGTATTAAGAACATGGCGTCCCAAAAACTATCGTGTCTCACTAATTTGTGCCATCTGTGCTGAAGCTAATGTCTCATGAGGTACAGAACTAAGTGGAGATGCTCAAGACCTAGAACACAAACAGGAAGTTGGGGAGAGGGTCCCAGCTTGCCCACAGCAGACTGGGATGTGAGCCCACACAGAACTTTAATGAAGGTCCTACATCTGACCTGAAGCCTACAAACTTCTTGCCTTAACAAAACATGTTGACTGCAGTCCTTTAAGAATCTCTGGAGTTAATTTCAGAACATGCCACATGGATTAAGACCTCCATGGGAGCTGCATTTTGTAGACAAGAGCCTAGCTCAGGAATCGACTCACTGGAAACTAGAGTTTGAGCTCAAGCACAGAGACCAGAGCAATATGGCTTGAGAGTGTCTCGAGTTAACCGATTCAGTGATGATAATAATAATAATAATAATAATAATAATAATAATAATTTATTTATACCCCGCCCATCTGGCTGAGTTTCCCCAGCCACTCTGGGCAGCTTCCAAAACAATACAGCATTAAATATTAAAAACTTCCCTAAACAGGGCTGCCTTCAGAAGTCTTTTAAAGAGATCTACGGCCATACTACCCTGAACACGCCCGATCTCGTCAGAAGTCTTTTAAAGAGAAGATAGCTGCTCATTTCCTTCACATCTGAAGGGAGGGTGTTCCACAGGGCTGGCGCCACTACAAAGAAGGCCCTCTGTCTGGTTCCCTGTAACCTCACTTCTCGCAATGAGGGAACCTCCAGAAGACCCTCGGCGCTGGATCTCAGTGTCCAGGCTGAATGATGGAAGTGGAGATGCTCCTTCAGGTATACAGGACCTGAAGTAAAAGCCTCCATCTGGAAATACCAGTGGCCGGTGCCAACTAGATACCTATGGAGAATTCCATGAGGACACAAAGGCACTAACTCTTTCCTCTTGTTGCTCTCAACCACAGCCACTGAACCTGGAGATTCTGCATAGCCATCACGGCTAATGGGCAAAATTATCCTCCAAGCAGGGTTGGTGCTATCATTAGACCACATGGGCAGCTGCCCAGGGCACAGACCTTTGAGGGGTGCAGTACAGACCTCTGAGGGGCACAGTTTTAAACAGATTGGTTTTTTGTTACATCTTATAAATTTCTGGTATTATCTGAGTTTTATTTCAGATTTTGAACACAGCCTCTCAAAGCTCAAACTTACACAAACTTGCATGCATTCAACAGTGTTGCAAAAGAAACTAGTTGGCTTGGCAGCTAGATCAGTTCAACATGCCCTAGTATCAGCACTCAACTCAAAGGAATTGGTAACAAAATCTGCAAAAGAAGAGACACGCAAAGTGAGATTTCAATGTGGCTGGAATTTTAACATCCCAAATGGCAAGATTATTCAAAGTGATTTATGTGCCAAGGCATTTTTTATTTTTTATTTTGTATTTGAGATGGTTGCATTGCTTTTTCCTGAAATTTAAAACAAATTGAGCAGTTTTGTGTTTTACATCCCCCCCTTACGCTTTTGAAAATTGAAATTAGCAATTTTGGGGTGAGGTTTGTGTGCAAGTAGTTCGCCTTGCCTAAGGAGCAAAATAGCCTGGCATAGGCACAGCCTCCAGTGAGGCGTCTAATCCACTTTTGGTGTCATCTAAGTCAATTGCCATCCCCACAATTTAAGGGAAGGGCCATAGCTCAGTGGTAGAGCATCTGCTTTGCATGCAGAAGGTCCCGGGTTCAATCCCTGGTGACTCCAGGGAGGACCAGGAGAGATTCCCACTTGAAACTCTGGAGAACTGCTGCCGGTCAGTGTATACAGTCCTGAGCTCGATAGGCCAATGGTCTGATTCAGTATAAGATAGCTTCTTATGTTCCTAACTAGTGGCAGCAAATTCCATAAATGAATGATCATTCTGTGTGGAGATGGACTTTCTTTTGTCGCTCTGATAATTACTTAGTTCTATATGAGTTGCTTTCCTGTTTCCAAACCAATAGACACCTCTTCCTCAACGAGTTCACGGTGGATCAGTGTCAGGCCTGCTTAGTTTCTCCAGCTAATCCCTTCTCAACCTTTGCCGCTTTCCCATCTGTCACCATTGCCTGTGTATCTTTCTCTGCAGGGTCTACCAGAGTTTCTTGTTTGTATTGGGCATGCACACATATTGGTGTACATGCAACACTGGAAGAAGACAGACATCAGCCAAGAAGGACCAAGACTTGGCAGTGGGCTGTGGAGGGTAGGGAGTCTGCTGGCAGTGCATAGGGGAGATGATGGTTATCATGGGTTATAACAGGTCAGACTAGAGATCTGGCGTGCCCAGGAAATGAACTGAATAACTTTGTCCTATGTTTAAATCTAAAATATGAGTCTGTGTTGAGCTAAGGGTGTTATTCAGATCAGCTTGCAGAGCAGAAAGGCAACATGTCCTTCTACATTGCATGCGAAAGGACGTCAGGAAGGTCGTGATGTTTTGTTTTGTTTTAAGTAAGCTTATATTCCGTATGGGAAGAGAGAAGCACCAACTATAAAAAGACCTTATAGACAGTCAAATGTGAGATGGCTTGTCCCCACAGTTTTCTTGTGGCTATGGCTATGATTAATCCTAAGTGACAGCACAGTGCTGCAAGCCTCTTTCTCAGACTGGTACGACTGTAGACACTACAGTACTTACTATTCTAAAATGAAAGCAAACAGTACAAAATTTGACTGGCAGATAAACAGGAATAATGCAAAGCATCTCGCTGATTTTGATTCTGAATTGATGCTGGCTATAGTGATGAATTTAAGAGCAATGTGGTATTGTGTGCTGTTAAAAAAACCATGGAAGTAGGCTGGTCACTTATGCACGCCCCCCACAAGAAGAAGATAGAAATGCATCGCCCAAAATGATGTGATTTGCATGAAATTTGCATGTGCTAATTTATATGTATAAATGCAAATTCAGAAAGAATCAGTATGATTTAAATATAAATACAGTGGACGCTTAGGTTGCGAACATGATCTGTGCGGGATGCACATTTGCAACCTGCAGCATCCGCAACCCGCAGTGGCGCGTCTGCGCATGCACCAAGTGCAATTTAGTGCTTCTATGCATGCGCAACCACCGAAACCTGGAAGTAACCCATTCCGGTACTTCTGGGTTTCAGCAGTCCGCAACCCAAAAAACCGCAACCTGAAGCATCTGTAACCCGAGGTATGACTGTACATCCTACTGGGAAAAACTTTGACTAGGTGATATATTATGATTGACACACATCTTAGGTGTCAAAGGCACAGAGGGGCTCTGCAGTCTTGTGCATTTGAGGTAGCCTCAAGCAGGGATATTTAAGTCTCTCAACACTACCTCGAAGAAGTTCTTCAAGACCACATCCGAGACTGCCCCTGCTAGCTCGCTTAGGGAAGTTGTAGTGCACTAACTAACTACTTTGGCCACCTCATGAGAAGAGAAGACTCCCTGGAAAAGACCCTGATGTTGGGAAAGATGGAGGGCACAAGGAGAAGGGGACGACAGAGGACGAGACGGTTGGACAGTGTTCTCGAAGCTTCCAGCATGAGTTTGACCAAACTGCGGGAGGCAGTGGAAGACAGGCATGCTCTGGTCCATGGGGTCGCGAAGAGTCGGACATGACTAAACAACAAAACAACAACAGTGCACTAACAACATCCTCATTCTGTCTCCTTGGCCCAGCACCAATCAGTCTCTCAAACCCAGACACAGTGTGGATTGGGAGATAGAATATGTGTGTCTACTCCAGGGTAACCCTGAAATGGGAGACTCCTTCAGAGAGATGACTAACCTCTAGCAGTCCTCTGTAAAGTAAGACCCATGGGCATCTTAAATGGATGCTAAGCCTTGCAGGTAAAGGACGACTTCTTGGCCCAAACAATTTAAGGCACCTTGGACTTTTTGGAGGAAGTAAGAAAAATTACAGCAGTAACAGCAGGACTTTTGTCCACAGATGAATTGCTACACAAATTGAGCACTGGAAATAATTAAACCATTTTCTATTTTGAACACTCATACCCTGCAAAGTATCGGTAACAATAAGGCATGGACCGAAGGTTCTGAAAATGGGAAAGTTCACATGTTGCACTAAAGGGTGCCTTACAAAATAAAATTGCAGAACACTGTTCATGGCTGAATCACAGAAATGTGGGAACAATCAAGAGGGTGTGCCAGGTAAGCACACACTCCACAAAATGTTTCTTTCGTGAGTGTTCCACAGCACTAAACCATGCAGGATGTGGGAGTTTCGTGATCACAACTCCTAATTTTATTTTGTTATTTATTTATTTTTGCAGGTAAAGGCATCTACAAGGAGAGAACTGGATAAGTCTGTGGCACTGTAGGGAGAGGTTTTCAAAAACAACAACAACCCCATTTCCCTTATTTAAATAATTCCCCCTTCCAGAAGCTGCCAGGAACCATGCAAGGAGAAAGAGGTGAGCACAATTCAGCTTTCTGGTATGAGAAATTTAAATTACTGCATGCTTCCAGAAACACCTCCTCCCACGTATACCTAACCAAACCATGAAATCATCCTTGGGACCCTGGTCTGTGTCTGTGTATCTCTCTGCCAACAGTGATATGAAGGGCAGATACAGTGGTACCTCGGGTTACATACGCTTCAGGTTACAGACTCCACTAACCCAGAAATAGTGCTTCAGGTTAAGAACTTTGCTTCAGGATGAGAACAGAAATTGGGCTCCAGCAGTGCGGCGGCAGCAGGAGGCCCCATTAGCTAAAGTGGTGCTTCAGGTTAAGAACAGTTTCAGGTTAAGTACGGACCTCCGGAACAAATTAAGTACTTAACCCAAGGTACCACTGTACTGGGGAACAGGGCCTTTTTAGTGGTGGTGGCCAGGCCATGGAATGCCCTCTACAGATAGGTTCACCAAGCACTTTGCTTATACCTTTCTTGGCAAGAGTTTTAAAACCTTTTAATTTCCCCAAGCTTTTAAAAACCCTACAGGTGTTGTTAGACTACAACTCCCATCATCTCCAACCACTGGCCATGATAGCTGGGGCTGATGAGAGTTGGAGTCAACAACATCTGGAGGTCCACAGGTCCCCCGTTTCTGTTTCATTGTGTGTTGATTGATTTTGTATTTTCATGTTTGAGACTGTAATCCTCACCCTACTTACATGGGAGTAAGCCCCACTGAATCAAAGAGTTGGAAATTAAATGATCATCTAGCTGAGAAATCATCTAGCACTCACCATTTTCCTGGCTAAAAAGTTGTTTATGGTCATTTATTTCAAGCGACACAGCAAAAGGTAAGTTACCACTTGCTATTATTGTCTTATGTGTGAGTGCAAGGGGTGAATGGCATGTTACCAAACATGGAAATTACCATAAATCCAATAAACAGGATTTCTTGTTCAAGCTGTGATTAATGTAGTGTGGTCAGTGGTCGTGCTGAATATTTATCTTTCATTTTCATATCCTCCCAGGTCTCTGGCTATATTTTCGTTTTGCAAAATTATAGCCAGATTTATTAGCATTTGATTGCTGATGTTCCCAGTTAAATCAGAATGGAAGCAAATTATACACTAGATTGTGCCACTGCTCTCATTCGAAGTCAGTGGGAGTTTTGCCACAAAGGTAAAAGGCAGCCAAATTGCAACAGGCCCATTTTTTATTAGGCGATATTTATTTCCAGCTGTGAAGCAGAAGGTCACAATTACGGGAAGAGCACATCATAAAAAGCACACCCTGTCTTGTCCTGCGGGGTTGCCACCTGTTTTGATTTGTCTGGTCACACCATAACACTGCAGTATTATCATTTTGGCTATCATGAAGGCGACTTTGAGTCACCATGGACGGAATGTCACAAGAAGAAATAGAGTACAGTAACAGCAAACTTGGGAGAGGCTGACTTAGCCCATCTAGAACCACAGGGCGCGGCTGGAAGCCCAGAACAGCAAATGGAAAAGACAAGGACAGCTATTTCAAACTTCAACACAGGCTTTGCCCACCTGGTGTTCTTAGTGCATTTTGGACTACAACTCTCATCAGCTTCAGCTGATGCAGGGTTGCCATGTGTCCTCTTTTTCCAGGACACGTCCTCTTTTTCAGGGGTAACATTTCTGTGCTGGTGGATTTTTAGAAATTTGCCGAGACGTCTTCGGCTATAGTTTCTGGATAAGAGATAGACATAACTAATGGTTGAAGACTTGCTTTCCTCTTCACTTCTCCTGCCCCTATCACAGCTTCTATAGCCTACATATATTAGGAGTATTTAAAATGAGAGTCGTCATAGCGTCCTCTTTTTTGCTCTTCAAAATATGGCAACCCTAGCTGATGGGAACTGTAGTCTAAAACATCTGGGGCAAGTTGTCGTCTGAGGACACTTGGCAAGGTCATGTGGGAAACTGCCAAGCTGAGAATCATCCTATAGAGACCACTTTGGAAGAAAAGCAGGATGCACATTTACTACTGAATAAAAGTAGCACCCCTGAAGACTAATAAATTTATTATTATTAATTTATTATCATTGCAATGGTAAACCCTGCTTCCCCCAATGAGCTAAAAGGCTGCAGTATGCAATTTTATCCTCAGAACAACCCAGTGAGGTAGGTTAGGCCGTCCAGTAGGTTTTGTGACTAGGCAGGGAATGAACCCACAGTTCCCTTGCCAGGTTCAATAACTACAACAGACACTGCATGCGGCCCCGTCTGCATTATACATTTAAAGCAGTGTCATACCACTTTAAACAGTCTCCTGGGAGCTGTGGTTTCTTAAGAGTGTTTA